ATTTTTTTCTTATAAAGGGCTAAATAAAACACAAATATTGGTGGTAATTTTTGACTGTGTAACTTTACAAATGGCACCCCGTACAGGTTTGGCAGGAGGTGAGTCTTCAACATCATCATTTTCAAAAAGTTGTGTTGTGGTCGTCTACATGAAAACAGTTGAGGAGACTCTAAGATGCTGTTTCCTTGWGGACATGAGGCTGAGACTAATTTTTGGGGGGATGAAACTCTAGTGTGGACTGCTGCAGAACTTTATTTTACACGTCTTTGTTTTATCAGACTGTAGAGCTGGGCTGATCCTAGACACTGTTGTATAAATTGTATCTTTTTGAATCCTAAAATGTTTTTCTTCAAATCAGAGAGTTACCGTTTCATAAAACTACTGCTTCAGTCAGGAAGCAGCAGTTTGGATGTTTCTGTCACCTCAAGACAAATCAGCTTTTGTTCAGCCAGTAACCAGACGAGCTGTGGTCAGCTTGAGAAGAATAATCGACTGTAGCTCTGATGCAGGCCTGGTACTGGCTCTATGCTTCTGGTTTTCTTAAATCCACACATCGTGTTTCACTAATGCAGTCCACTGAGGAACAGCCTGAGTGTCTCCATCAACAACTGTGCCTTAAAACCATAAATCATTTTTTATTACCTTTGGACGGAAGAATTTATTCAAAGTATTTTTAGCTGATTTTCCTTTTGAGGCCTCAGGATCTTTTGRTTCTTCTTTAGTTGCTGGTTTTGCAGGTTTGGTTGTCGATTCTCCTTTGGATTCCAGTTTGGGTGGTTCTGGAGGAGGCGGTGGTGGGGCAGGCATTCCCTTTGGTACTGCAGGGACTTCAGATATTTGTGCAACCTATGAAAACAGAGAAGGGTCGTTATCATACTGAGTTTCAATGAAATCTGATCTATTCCATAGTATTTGTTCATATTTTTAACAGCAGGTGTTTTAGTAACATCAGGTCTCACTGAGCTGGGACTAATGGACGAACAGCACTTAGTCTGAGAGACAAAGGCTTCAAAATTTCAAACTTGGTCCCAGTATTTTTACATCAGTTGTTTCTTCCTCAAAAGGCATCTTGGATGTATCCCAGTCTTACAAAGAGCTCTAAAAAGACACGTCCAGCTCCAAAAACCACATCAGTGATACATAATAATGAGGGTATGATGTTGGAGTGTTTGACAAAACGATGCACACGACCTAAAATACACTGTTACAGAACATACGTTTTAAAAAACCAATCAGTGCAAACTGCAGCTGCACGGCTCCACTGCAGTTCAGAGAGACCGCAACAGAAAAGTTGTGAATTTTCTCATAATTTTGATAAATCAGCTACACTCCAGCAGTCAGAGCTCAGTGAGATAGAACTTCAAGTGACAGACAGTAGATGTGTTTCCATGTTTAACACAAAAAAACAACTGTTATTTAGTAAAAGTAGCACCGCAGAACCAGCTAGAAGTGTTTGATAAATCAAACGTTTGATGGGCTGTATGCTCACAGTAGTGGTTGCTGCAGGTTGGGTCTCCTTCAGGGGCTGTTTTGCAACAAAAAAAGGAAGCAGTTAAAGATGCACAGCTAACCTAAAGCAAACAAAGATTAGTTAAGAAGTTGGTGTACATGATTACTGTGGAGGATCGAATCTGACATAATTAAAAGTAAAATCAGAAATATGTAAATGG